AACCTCGCCGGAATGTCGAACAGTTCCTGAGTTTTTCGAGGAACAAAAATTTCTCCCATTTTATTTTTCCTATAGGTTCAGAACCCCTACTAACAGAAGTCTCGCTTATAGATATGCCCAAAAATCTCACCCATTATTCTTTCTCTCAAACTCTCCCCCTCTCTCTAACGATGCGATCTAGAAAAAAAATGGGTATTTACCTATGAACGAACGGTATCGACGAGCTTTCCGTCAAGAAACCAGCAAACATGGTTTTGATCTGCATGGAGAAACTAGAAGAAACGGGTTACAATGGTAATGTTTTTGGAAGCGTAAGTAAGGAGAAATAAGAAAAGTAAATCAATCTTCTTAACTCTTCTCCCTAATTCCCTAATCAATCTTCTTTGATATATGTGTTTTATATAAGCATATAAAAATATAGACATGGGGTATAAATGGTTAATGTAATGGAAAATGTCCTTTATATGAGTTACGCTTTCTCAAAGAATAAACCTTTCTTGATAAATATGGATGTGTAAGAATGCTAACAACGATTTGTTTACAAATAAATATAGCTTGATAAATGTGGTTGTGGTTGATAAGGAAAGAGAGTGATTGTGGGACTTTAAAAAAAAAAATGATAATACTAAAAAAGAAACAGAAAAATGAAATATTGTCTTTTAATGTTTGGTAGGGACTGAATTTGAAACAAAAAAAATTATAGGATGGTCTAAGTATTTAAAAAAAAAAAAAAGAATAAGGGACCAAACACGTAGACTACCAAAATCAAATGGGTCATTCATGTAATTTATCATATATATATATATATATATATATATATATATATATTATATATATATATATATATATATATATATATATATATAAAAGTTCAATAGATAACCATTATTATTCAATGAACCAATCTAAAGTGTCGGAATTTAAAGCGATCAACGGCAAAAGAAAAGGCTGTAAATTTTTATAATGGACGCACATGTATCGGATTATAACAAAACCCACTTCATTTTTTTTCATTTAATTTTTTTTTCAGGCCAAGTTTTTTATCGAAAAAAATCCGAATATACCGTTGTTCACAAGTTTTCGTCCTCTTTCCATAGAGATCCATGATGATATATGTAAAAAATGAACTTTTTTTTTTTTTCGAAAAAAAAATCACTTAATTTTCTTGTTTTTTTCAATATTTAAGCTTTTTTTTTTTATAAAAAAACTAATTATACCAAAAATATTAATTTTTTGTACTCTATTAATAAACATCAATACCGATTAAAAAAAAACCCTCGAACAGTGTAGAATCACACTGTGAATCTAAACTGTAAATATTTCAATTTTTAACATTCACAATATGAAAAATCTCGAACAGTTCAGATTCACATTGTGAATCTGAATTACTATTATGCACACTGTGAATCTGAGAAGGTTCACAAAAAAAAAAACCCTCAATCAGTGTAGATTCCCATTATGAATCTAAACTGTAAATATTTCAAATTTTAATATTCATAATGTGAAAAAGCTCCGATAAGTTCAGATTCACACTGTGAATCCGATTTATTATTATACACATTGTAAATTTGAGGGGGTTCACAATGTGAATCTGAACAAGTTTACAATATAAATATGAACAAGTTAATAATGTGAATCTGAACTAAAATATCGTTCTTTTTTTATTTTTTTTTTATTTTTTTTTATTTTTTATTTTTAAATATGAATATGAATGTATGTTTAAAAGTACAAAAAATATGAATTCCGATATATTTATTAATCTGTTTCTATAAAAAATTGACCTTAACTTTTTTCATTAAAGAAAATGAAGTGAGTTTTTTTCGAAAAAAAAGTTCGTTTTTTATATATCATCATGGATCTCTATGGAAAGAGGACGAAAAATCGTGAACAACGGTATATTCGTTTTTTTTATTTTATTTTATTAGTATTATTTTTTTTTTATAAAGAACATGGCCTAAAAAAAATTTTAAACGAAAAAAAATGGTGGGTTTTTTTTTTTTTTTTTTTTTTTTTTTGTAAAGGATGGATTTTTTGGTATAATCCGGTGTGTGTGCGTCCAATGTAAAAGTGTACATCTATTTTCTTGGCCGTTGATCGTTATGATTTCCGATACTCACGATTGGTTCCTTAGTTAATTATGGTTCTCTATTGAACCTTACCATATAATTTAATGCTGGAAATCAATCAGTTGAATGTTTCACATAGCTATATAAAGCTATTTTAGGCTAATACAATCTATATATAAGGCAATCATTTAAACTGTGGATTTCTCGTAACGTGTTTTATATTTTGTTTCTACTATCTTTCTCTTAATCAACTTGAGCTCTGTATAAACATATAATGATTGTTGATTCAGGTTGCTGATGTGAAGAAAAATATAGTATTCAGGTTATGATTAATCATTCATGATTAGAAGTATTAAATTTATTTATTATGCTTAATCATACATGATTACAAGTATTGAGTTTATATATTTGCTATTCTAACTTGCATATATGTTTTAATTTTTGTAGGTTTCATAACAACAAAAGAGCTTAAGTTCATATAAAGGCAATCCGTTTCAAGTCAAAAGATTGAACGCAAGAGCAATATATTTTAAGTCAAAAGCTTGGACGCGAAAAAAAGGGACCGTGAAAATCATTGGTGTGCTTTTGATTGTAACATGACGCTGGTTTAGATGGTCATATCCAGATGTTATAATGATATTTTTTTCTATTTTACCATTGTACTTTTTATTTATAATTACAATTGCACCGTCTACATTAAGGTTTCTTTATTTATGATTATGATTATATTAGACTTTTTTTTTAATCATGAACAATATTTATGTCTATCATGGCACACATTTGGTTAATTTAATGTTAATTCTTATCATTATAACTTAATTCATTTATTCATTTACGATTACAACGGATTCATATTTGATTACAAATATGTTTTATGTTTGTATGATTACAAATATTCGGTTGAAATGATTAATTCATCAATCTTTTTGAAATACTGGTAAATTAAAAAAAATGTTTTTTAATCATGGTAAAATCATTCTTTTTGATATACCGGTAAAAAAAACGTTTTTTAATCATGGTAAAAAGTTTTTTTTTTTTTTTTCGTACTCTATTTGATTAAAAATAGATTAAATTCATTTTTAGTATCTGGGTAAAATATCAATCAGTTAGACAACATCCCATGATTGTAGGAATTAATTAATTATCCATATTTAATTATATTGTAACATTCCTTTTACGCCCCTATGGAATGATTGGTTTACAATTGTTCTTGCGTTCTCAACCTTTTAGGTGATCTCATTTGATCCTCTCTCTCTCTCTCTCTCTCTCTCTCTATATATATATATATATATATATATATATATATATATATATATATATATATATATATATATTATAAACTAGAATAGAAAAAAAAAGTTATTGTCATGAAAAATTCACAAAGTTTGATTTTTGGGTTTAAATGGTCACTGAATTAATTTTTTTTTTCTTTTTAGACCACTAAAGTGGGAAATGACTTGTTGATTACGGGATAATCAACATGTAGAAACAATTTAAAATGTTGAATTATCGTGGTAGTCATAGTGGGTGATCGTAACGGGTAGGGCTCAACGAATGGCACATTAGTCCTGATAATTATACAAAAGAAAAGATGATAATGGACGTATTGTCATTTTAAGTTGCCATGCATGTGACCAAACTCGAAACAAAACCCCACAAAAGGGTCCATCCAGATGAAAAAAACATGTTAAAAATCAAAAGCACAAATTACTTTAATGACCGTTCTTGTAATTTGCTTTTCACAAGTAAACAAGAAAACACATGTTTTTTTCGTTGTTAAATGAAATTAATATAATATTTTTGAAATATTAGATCAACTAATAATCATTTGCAACAAATACGGTTATTTTGATACTTTTAACAGATTCTTTTCCTTCTTGGAAAGTGATGCGCCAAAACTATATAGGGAATATATGTGGTGTAAATGAAAAATATTACATCTTCAAGGGTTGAAACTGACATTATATTGCGCTTCTTCATCACAATTCGAACTACTTGTTCACAAACCCACTTTACAAAACACAAAGCATTAGCACAAGCGCATCTAGTAGAGCCAGGTACGTTTTTGTTGAAATTTTTTCTCTTTTTTTAAAGAATCACCTGTCTTAGTTGTTTTTGTTGTGGATCTGTCGATCCTTGAGTATATATCTGGAAAAAAAATGTTTTCTTTGCTACTCGTTGTGGATTGTTTGTGAATGGTCTACGGATAAATTCAAGTAAATGTTTAAATGGATAACTATGCCTCCTCAATTTCCTTCTTTTGATTATTGAACAATGTTTTAGAGGTTTTCTTAGGATGGATGCTTCTAAGTAGATATCAGTTCTAGCCCTAATAAATCCCCTATTTCGAGGCACGCTATTTCTTCCTTATCTTTCTCAATTTTACACGATGGTGAAATTAACAATCTATTCCAGCTTTCAATCAATTTAAAGAAAACAAAGGTGAAGTTGACAAGGGAAGACAAACATCATATTAACTATGAATTTACATACACATTAATTTACCTACTAAATATGTTATGTGTCTTAAATCCTGAAGGCAATTTCTATAATGTTAATTATCTTTGGGTTATACATGATATTTGAAAAAAGATAGTTTTGCAAATTAATATTGAAAATATCCATGGATTTTATATACTAAGTAACAACTTTTAACAATTTCATCCCTTTTTTATATCTGTTACATGGTTTACAGGTCTATGTAAAAGCTAGAATATTGAAAGATGGAGTATGTATCGGCAATGGTTCCTGTCAATAAACAGTTAGGTTATCTCTTTTCCTCCACAAAACATGTTAGGTGCATGAATATTGAAAGATGGGGTTTGTATCTGCAATCATTAGTCCTCTTGTTGAATCATTAATGATTCCTGTCAAAAAACAGCTAGATTATCTCTTTTCCTCCACAAAACATGTTAGGAGCATGAATATTGAAAGATGGAGTTTGTATCTGCAATCATTAGTCCTATTGTTGAATCATTAATGGTTCCTGTCAAAAAACAGCTAGATTATCTCTTTTCCTCCGCAAAACATGTTAGGAACATGAATACTAGAATGAAGCAACCGGATTGTACAAGCTGTGATGTTAAAAATCACATGGAAACAAACAACATAAGTAATCTAGAGATACATGTTCGTGCTCATGTAAGACGGTGGTTAAAAGATGTGGAAAAAATTAAGAAAGATGCTCAACTTATTTCAAGCATAGGGAATGGATGTTTTAACTTGAAAATGAGGTATCGAGCAAGAAGGAATGCATTCATGATTACAGAGGAGATGGGAAGTCTTATTAAAGAAAATAGTAAGATAATTTGGAATAATGCTCAAAAACCTCTTGGAAAAGTCAAAATGCATCTGCTTCAACATTGTGGGATGATGATGGCCAAAATTACTTCAAATCAAGAGAGAAAAGTTTTAACGATGCACTCAAGTTCCTTCAACAAGATCACACGAGCCAAGTGATAGCCTTATGTGGAATGGGAGGTGTGGGGAAAACCACAATGACGGAACACTTGAAAAAAGCTACAGAAGATAAGAAAATGTTTGATTGGATTGTGAAGGCGGTTATTGGACAAAAGATTAACATGTTATCTATTCAGCAAGCTGTAGCAGAATACATGGGTCAACCTCTAATAGAAATGAGTATAACAGCAAGGGCTGATCGTCTTCGTATAAGGTATGGGAAGATGTTCGAAGAATAAAAAAAACTTTTAGTGATATTAGATGGTATTTTGCCCCTTGCAGTTAAACTCATTGAGATAAGCTATACCTATTTAAAAGAAGAGGAGGAGAAAAGGATTTTTCTACTTTGTGGTTTGTTTTGACTTTCATATTCCAATCGAGGAACTCACAAGAGACATATCTCCATACATAAGTCTATCTCCATACATAAGCAAGCAAAGATCATGCATTTTAACACACCCAATGTAATTGCTATCGATCAACAAATTTATATTTTTAAGATTCTGCACACATGTTTTTGTCCTGTCTCTCTTATCTCCCACAACAGAAACATCATTTAACATACGATTGTTAAATGATGTTTCTGCTGTAGGAGATGAGAGAGACAGGACAAAAACATGTGTGCAGAATCTGAAAAATGCAAATTTGTTGATCGATACCAATTACATTGGGTGTGTTAAAATGCATTATCTTTGCTAGCTTTTGTGTTAGGTAGAGTTGCTAAAGGTGATTTTTCATGGATAATCAACCATGGTGATATTTCAAAGTGGTGTAGAGCTGAAATGAGAGAGTCTTGCAAAACAATTTCTATTACTTGCACAGGTATATATGAGTTTCCTAGTGACTCTAAGTACCCAAACCTATCACTTTTGAGACTCATGTATGGAGATAAGTCTCCTAGGTTTAACGAAGAGTTTTATAAAAAAATGGAAAATCTTGAAGGTTTAGCATATGAAAAATTTCTTAGTTTTGCTCATTGTGGCATCAGAAAGTTACTATCAACAATTGGAAAATAGAAGGAGCTAAAGTTTCTATGTTTGTATAGTCTACCAAAGTTGACTGCTCTTTGCAACACTGCTAGTGTAATTGAGCTACCACAGCTAGTGGAGCTGATACTTGATGGCCTTCCTGACTTCACTAGCATTTATCCTGAGAAAACATCTGCAACATCTTCTATGTCCAATAATATCTCTGCAATTCAACTTATCTTTAACAGAGGTACCTCTATACTAGAATTGTCTATGTAATGAAAGTTTGTACTTCCCTATTGATGTTCAACATATCTTAATTATTGGGCAGATGCTGATTCCTAATGTGGAGATATTGTTAATTGGGAAAATGAATAAGCTGAAAGAGATATGGCCTTATCAACTTAGTAGTAGTGACGAAGTTGATACTTGCATTTTTAGAAAGATTGAAATGAAGAAACATAATAATCTTGTGAATCTTCATGTTACTTATTGTGGAAGCATTGAAATGTTATTTAACATCGAGATGACTTGTGTTGGTGAAATTGAAAAACACAGTAGCAACTTGAGACACATTCATGTATATAATTTGGGGTAGCTAAGAGAGTTGTGGAGGATAAAAGGTGAAAATAGATATGATATCCTCATCGATGTTATTGAGCTTTCTATTTTGATGTTAAAGAACTTATGTATATGTGTATCTATATATACACACGTGTGTATGTGTATGACTGTATGTAAATATGTTCGAGTGTGGAACTCTTTGAACCTTCATATTATTATTTTTACATATTTATAAGCAAATGTTTTTTGGTTACTTCTCTACATCTATGAGCTTGTGTGTTTATTATATTTAACAATAGTAACTTCAGTTATTATTATAAATTATTAAGATTTAAGAGCGACCACATTTCCATTAAATGCATAGATTCAACATATTTGATCTATTGATCAAATGAGTAATCACACAAAATTATTTATGTATGGTAAAAGAAAAACCAAATTACAAATTTGTTTCTTGTGTTTACATTGTTTCAAAAAATTTCTTTGCAGTTTTAGTACCTAACTCATGTTTTCTTAGCATTTTTAGTCCTTACATCAAATTTAACATATTGCATCGACCCCCACTTATCCTACAACTTTTTCACTTAAGTTTCACATTTCACTCATCTCAAAAAGTATAATATCTTTTGGAAATAAGTTTTCTTGTTTTCGATTGAGACATGATGTTGTATGTATTGCGTTTTTCTACTTTACAGGATGTTGGTTTTATTAATACAAAATATAAAAATTCTATCATACAAGAAGGGTTGAGTAAGGACTGTTAATAGCAAAAACTAATAGGGAACTTGAGGAAGATTGTGAAATGGGAAAGAGGTGGATGGTGGTGGGCCCTAAGGGCTACGGATAGTTATAAAGATTATTAATAATACAAAATATCAAAAGGTAAAATAGTCGTTTAACAAGGCTTGAGAAACTTAAATTAAGGGTTTGAGTAATAAACCATGAAGCAGGGACTAAAATTGCAAAATAATTTAATGAACCAAAACCAAAAAAACCAGAAAAACACATAAACACATTGACCATCCATGATCTGTTCAAGGTATCATTTCTTATAAGTGGATTCTTTTAATGTTCAATTATTTCTTTAATTTTTTTTTAATATTCTCTTTTCTATATATAACTCCATAAGCTGGAAAGACAAAATAAATAACTACGTACCTAATTTCTTTAGTTTATTCATTTACATAGATCATTAAAGTGATTTATGATAAGCATGGTTATAAATTCTTAAATGTGTCTTTTATTCAGTTTTAGTTAAATTAACTAAAATGGATGGTGTGATAACTTAAATTTAAAATATATAAATATATATATATATATATATATATATATATATATATATATATATATATATATATATATATATATATAATTAGATTAAATCATTATAATGAAATGATTAATTCAAGGATTAATGAGTTAATTAGTAGAGAGTTATGAGGTTTAATGTCTAAAACAGTCACCTTCATTGGGACAATAAAATTCGAGCAACTTAGAGGGTTCCTTCAGTTTTAGTGTTAGGCATTATATATAGCTTGAGGAATTGAGTGAGAAACACGCTAGAATTGAGAAAAAAGACGAGGAATCGAGGGAGAAACGGGGTGTGCACGTTTTTGAAGATTTTCGGAGTGTCTCTTCAGATTAAGGTATGATCATGCGATTGAGCTTAATATAATATCTTAGATAGATGTATATGCATGGTAAACATATTTTGGTTCAACGTACTATCTTAATTCGATCAAACCAATAGCAATTTGATAAAAATCCAAAGAGTGGAACTTTGGTATAATAAACCCTTAAATTCGTATGATTGTGAATTTATTTGTTAAATTTTAATGATAATGCGTCAACAAGAAATGGAGATGCTTAATGGTGATTTTACAGTTAAAATTTACAAGATTTTTCAAAGCTTTCTAGTAGTTTAAAAATGGCAGAAAAGAAAAAAAAATGAAGTTTCCGGTGAGGAAGAAAGCTAGTCCACGTATGGTACATATGTGGGTCAATCGTGTGCCATACCTTTTAGAAAGGGAAAATGACTTATAAGTGTAATGATGCCTTAAAAACGTTCAAAAAACACCATCAAAGATTTATATGTTTAAAAAAACACCATCAAACTAAAGACTTTGTTTAAAAAATACCAAGGAAATATATCTTTTGTTCAAATCCCACCTAGTGGTAACCTACAGTTGTAGGTTAAATGAAAAAAATGACCTGATAAAATTAATTAACAGAAAATAATTAATGACATGGAATATTTGTATTCTTATGTGGATTAAGGGTTAAAAATGTGTCACGTATTTCAACATCTATGAATTTGAACCCTCTGTGAAAGTGATTTACATATCCTAGATCACATCGATTCCTCTTCGGTGACATCGATTTTTCCAGCAAGAAGGTACCCCTGTTTGATGCATTTTCTGCAATTATGACCAAACTGCCCCTTGTTGGTTTTGCTGCAATTATGACCACAATGCCCCTATTTGTTGGTTTTGCCGCAATAAATGATAGTAGATTGCTTTTGCTGCAATTATATCCAAGAATTTAATTGATTATTAAACTATCCCATTTTGTAAACAATTTCTAAAGGATAATATAACATCGATTAACAAATCACATATTAACAATGTAATTACAGAATCTTTCCAAAACCATCCCATTTTATGAAATAGTGAGAAATAGAAGTTGGAAAAAAAAAGTTGGCGGTGTACATTTCTTTTTATTTACCTGTTTTCAAACCGTACATATTATTTTCTTTGCAAGTATTCAAAAAATAAAATATTAGTCCCTGAACTTTTAAAACTATTTAGTTTACACTATCATATAGGAAACTGAAATTTTCAGATAGAACCCCTGAGTTTTATAAACTTGCCGATTCTTTTGAAGTTACAGAGTTTAACATGGTTCGCTTTAGCCCCGCACTTTGATATTATATAGTTCAAAATAATTTTGGATATTACGAATGATGCTTTCAAATATTTTAACAACGCTTATTTATTTATTTATTAATCCTTCTGGAGTATTCTTTTTTGTAAATGTAAGTATTATTATATCTAAAGGACATTTTTTGAAAGGGGTACATCATAATTAACGTAAATTGCTAATTATGAGTCGTCGAATGATACAGGTTGAACAAAAATGAAAACATAGGATGTTTTATAGGATTATAGTCTTAGAAAATACTTTTTGGTGGAATATAGGGTGTGGGTAGCGCGACAAGCTCCGGTTAAGTCCTAACAGCCAACAAAGTGAGTTTCGTGTGAATTTTGTGGTTGCTTACATGAAAAGTTGATTCCAATTTATTTGCAATTACATGTTACCATTGCTATTGCTATGAATATTTGTGTGAATTTTAAGAACTTTTTCATGAAAAGGGTGGGTGCCATATTATATAGGGAACGAGTGTATTAACTACACTGTCTTATTATTAGTCTTCGTACAGGATGTTAGTACGTGGCGAAGAGCTTACGCTCTGATTAATTAGCCGTAAGCATATTTGTTGTGCCCGGAGGAGGGACTTGTTCCCTGAAAATGACAGTAATTCCCTAATGTGTCACTAAGGGTGGAAAGAAATGAAAAGAATTATATTTGATGATTTGTTGTATTATTTTTATTTTATTGACGTCAATATGCATGAAAATCACGAACTCGTTAGGCCCTACTTTACGCATTAGAATCATTAAATGCACGCAAACCACGAAATAACGTAGCAAGTGGCAGCATGAATGAAAATGATAAAGCTCAGACTTGAAGAAGGCAACAAGTTTTGAGGAAGACGTAGCACACCAAGTGTTTACTTAAATTTCTATTTGCTTCCGCTATTATTATTAATAATGACATTAGTATTTGAATTTTCGAATTTTAGAAGTTTTGAGACCACGTTAAGTTAATATTGGTATTTGAAATTTGGGGCGTTACAGATGGTGGATTAGACCGGATAGTGAGGGAAAGAAAAAAAAATGATTGATAAATGTATATAAGTCATATCAACTTATTCTTAATTTTTTTGTTAAGTAATATGAAAATGAAAAAATAATATTTTATTGATACCTTCTTTTTATTGCCTAGTTTGCTAGTTTGGCTTACTAAAATTCCGTTTGTTGTTTAAAAGATTTTTTTTTCTAACATGGAACCAAAGAATATGAAACTTTACCTAACTATATGTAGTTGCCAACTAAAAATATATAAATACAATTATATGTGACAAAAAACTCCTATTTACATTTTTTTTGAAAATATTAAATTGAAGACATTAAACAATCATAGAGTCAAACATGCAAGATTGTCAGGGAAAATCTTCACAAGTAAAATTCAAAGTCGAAAGTACAATGCTATAATTTGGAGGATCTTCAAAGTACAGGAAATTAAAATTCATAGTTATAAATCTAGGCGAAGTATTTGTATATTTTATGATTTATATCGTGCTTGCATTTGTTTATATCTAATATTTACTTTTTTAGTTTCAAAGATGATATTAACCATTATCATGACCAAAACGTCCACTTCCATTGTCATACTTTGATACTACATGAGACACACGTGAAATATATGTTGATTGAGAAACAGAAGATGACTAGGGTATTTTGGTCATTTGACAAATCTTCTGCATTATCGTGTAGCAGTTGTGTAGATTGAGAAGGAAGATACAAAACTATAGTCTTTCCTCGTTAGATTTACCTGATCTTATTTGAGTTTTGATCGCCAATATTGGAAAAGGTTAGGATTTATGACTGCCCACAAATGATGATTTTCACATCTGGGCACTTTATGACTCCGAAGCTCAGCCAGATACATACAACCTTAAGCAAGACAATAAATCCAATTTCCCTTGCCTAGCAGATCCCTTGGGTTATGTTCCCACAGAGGATATTTTATATGCAGTGAAGGCAA